TTTTGTCAAGATTTAAAATGGTATTTAATTTTGTATATGCCATTATAGAAGAAGCGCTCTTGTGGCGAAGGAGTGCGATTTCTCTTCAGTCGCTGCTTGGCATTGCAGTGACACTGACCGTGTGTGTGTGGCGGCTGTGCCTTGAATCAGTTCGGCTTGCTTCGTACTCTTTCATTTACATTAGGCTTTTTATACGATAAATAGAAAAGGAATTGGAATGGCACATGCAATTTCTAAAATGATCGAAAGCGTAAAAGAACTTAATGCATGAAAATTGCATTTTTCCGTGGAGGATTTGCAGGTACAGTGTTGATTGTGGCAGGTACATAGCGCCGAGTAAGATGTAGACCACTGCTTGGTCTTCCTTTTCTTTTTCCGCAGGTTTCATATTTGCTATTTTACGTAAAATATTTTATGTTATTTTTGGACGTTTCCTCTTGTATCAAACACACTGAGGCGTTTTTGTTCAAGTCAGAATGTACAGCAAAATTATGGTAGCCTGTAAAGATAAATTTGTCGGTACCAAATTGCATGCTTCAAGGTCACAGCAAAAAATACATGTCGCAACACGAACAGTGGAGCCCAGGCGAGTGAATACAGCTGAGAACTCGCAGAGTAGCAAAGCCAACAACGCAGCACGTGTGTGGGTGTGCATTAACTCCTTCTGTGGCCTTGAAACATGCAATTTGGTGACGGCTACTATAATTAAATCAGTCTATAATTTGGCAAGGCTGTGGGAACGACTAACAAATCGCAAAGAAATTAAATGCGGCGAATTCTAGCTAGCTTTCGGATCGGAATCGTTGAATCTTCTCGTCTGCTATCCGAAAGCGAGAAGGTCAGAATTTACAGAAGTGTAATTTCACCTTTTTTTAAAAAAAATTGAGATTGGGAGTGAAGATTGCTTGTCTTCTGGGATGTTGCGCCTTGTGATCTCGTAGAAACTGAGTAGCGTTTGAGATCGTGTTGCTGAGGAGAATACTTGGACCGATGAGGAAGTAAGGGTGGAGAAAATTGCATATTGAGGAGCTTTATAATTGTACATTTCACCAAATGTGATTAGGGTTAGCAAGTAAACAGGGATGTGAAATGGACGGGCCATGTAACGCGAATGGGAGACAAGAGAAATTTATACAAAATTTTAATCGGAAAATCTGAAGGGGAGAGATTAGCTGAAAGTCAATACGTGTAAATTGGAGGCGAATATTGAAATGGGCTGTAAAGAAACAGGGTTTAGGGGTATGAATAAACAAAGGATAGGGTACGGCGGCTGGCTGTTGTGAATACGGTTATGAACGTTAAGATTCCATAAAGAGTTGAGCGACTGTTACTGTAAATTCCATCATACTCGCTCAGTGATCACATGAATTAGCGTCTGTGCACTCAAATTACCGTTGACTAAAGAGTTGGATGAAAATGAACTTCGTTTGACCGAAAGGAACTGGCTTCAATATTGCGGCATTGTCTGTTGGAACATTTCCTCCGAACCGGAGTTTGAACTTTTTGCCTGCCATGCGTCAATCTGAGCCACGTGTACGTCTGTTTCATTTCCTGTCTTCTTATCACTGTGCTTGTTTTGTGCGTCTTACTATTTTGATGGTGTTTTTGACTTTTGTGTTTAAGCAGTCGTTTATCGTAATTTGGTACAATGCAGCGGATGGAAAAAAAGCATTCTATAAATATTGTGAGTAAAAAAAGTACGTATTCGGCCAGCAGCAGCGCGTAACTTAAGAGACACAATAAATGGGGCTGGTGGGGTTTCAGCTTATGTGCAGTGCCACAGGCTTGAATCAAAACCACATCCCTCGCCCTGTTTCCTTAAGATATATTTGAAAATCCTTCGGTGTGCGCTTAGGTCTCGAAAGTGTTCTCTTTCTTTTCTTTATCTTTTTTGAAGACACGACTTCGATCCAGTGGACAGCCAAAATTCGTTCAACAAACTCGCAGTGCCACGGTGGTCTAGCGGTTAGAACGCTGGCCTTGTAATCCTGGGGTCTCGGGTTCGATTCCCGGCGGTGCCCGAATTTATAGCTTTTGTTGGGCAAGGCCGTGGTCTAGGCAACACGGAGTTTTCCTCCGTGGCATCCCAACAATTACTCCATTCACACACAGAAGAAGGCAATGGCAAACCACTTCTGGATCATCTGCCAAGAACGTATATGAACAGGTCCCAGTCCGAGAAAAGGATGGAATGATCCTGTTCATATGGACCTGTCGTCAGACAGAACACTAAATAATAATAAGATGAGGTGGTCTAGCGGTTAGAATGCTGGCCTTGTAATCCTGGGGTCTCGGGTTCGAATTTATAACTTGTGTTGGACAAGGCCGTGGTCTAGGGAACGCGGAGTTTTCCTCCGTGGCATCCCAACAATTCCTCCATTCACACACAGAAGAAGGCAGTGGCAAACCACTTCTGGATCATCTGCCAAGAACGTATATGAACAGGTCCCAGTCCGAGAAAAGGATGGAAGGATCCTGTTCATATGGACCTGTCGTCAGACAGAACACTAAATAAATAAATAAATGTATTTCTCATCTTTCCAGTGAGTGCGACATCTGACTTAAGCAGGAATAGAGATTGGCCTGTGATCTCCCACTCGCTTTAAGCGAGTTAATTTTGTGAGATGACGAGTAGAAATCCACAATAATCATTTAGCCTCTATACAGATAACAGAACAAAATGTGTAAGATAACTTGAATTTTAAGTATCGGTTATATTTTCAAGACTCCAGTTTACGAAGTTTAATGCGAATAGATGCTTCGCCAATTCTTTACGTTTCCATAAAAAGCTGCTCTAGACTGTTCCGATTCAGTCTTCATGTTGATATTGTGACTCTTTGGACGAGGTACTGGCCAATTGCAAGGACTCTACCTAGACAGGGTAATGCAATAAAACACAACTCGGACATGCTACCACACTAGAGTGGTTTTCGGATCCTTAGCTTCAGAGAGTTACAGCGGTGCAAGACTACACGATTTTGATCGCACTGCGAATTTGTTGAACGAATTTTGGCTGTCCACTGGATCGAAGTCGTGTCTTCAAAAAAGATAAAGAAAAGATCACCGTTGCCGTTTGACCACTCTGAGAATCCTAACGTTACGTAATACCTAAACCCTTACAGGAATTTCCTTCGTAATTTTTATGCTTACAGACATTACGTGTTCCTTCAGTTTTTGAAAGGTTCTTGGTCGTTCCTTGCAAGCAACGAACTTCAAATGATCCTAGAAGATAAAATTGAAGGTTAATGGCATTGTTACCTTGGTAACCATTTTATAGGACTCGTCGAATACATTGTCCATTTTTGTTAGGAAATGCGCACGTATTGAACGCAAAGTGAGGTAATGCTCCATCCATCACTGTAATTGAATATTGTGCAAAAAATCCATTCTGTATCATACACAGAAATGTTTTTCCTGCAACCGTTTAATAAATTGGATTATTGATATGACCTTGTTTCATATCCATAAAATTTTATTCCACCTGCCTGTTTTATATGACAGCGTAGTAGGCCTACGCAAAATGTCGTGGGCTGCGAGCCATAGACAGCAGATTCGAAAGCTTGGTTTCAAAAACCACTGTGTCAATCTGTCAGAGACCAAAAGTTTCGCACGCAGTTTTTTTATTTGTTTGTGAATGGCCTTTGGAAAAGTCTGCTAAAGCGTTTAGTGTTCTTTATTATGTCACTCGTCACTCATTTTACAACAGATGCTTACGAAGCTTCGTTTTTATGAATTGGCAGTTTTAAAAGGCATTGGAACTCTTAGACTTCTTGTTGGTATGTTAATTGACAGCCGTAATAATCAGGGTATCCACATTTGTTTTGCTGTCGTCGACTTATCGCGGAAATAAATCCAGTTTGGTTTGTAAATTTATGTTTTCTGAATCCGAAATCGTCGAGGGGTGGGGTGGTGCCACTAATAAGACCAAAATGTATTGACTCTGCCTTAATCATATCGGTGTGGCATATTCTGTTCACCGTAAACACAGGTGCGGCCAGTCGTTGTTAATTGAAAAATCTGAAGGCAAAATTCTGTAGTGGAAGAAATTGTCTAATTTCGTCTTCAAATTATGGGTATGGGAAATTACTCAGTAGTAAATACACCATAAATAAAATACAAAATGAAAACCAATGCAAACCGTTGGAACTAGGAGATGGAGAGACCAAATACACTAAGCGAAGTTAATAACAGGCAATTAAGCACAATCTTATTAGTTCATGATGATAAGTACTGCTAACTTACGCGGTTCAGTCTGCAAGCAAAGAAGAGGACGTTTATGAAGCTACTGTGTGTGTTGCAGTCGTCCTTGGTTGTAATTTAGTGTATTCAGCAACATTGTTCTCTGCAGATTCATTTAGTAAAGATAGCTACTGTACTTATAGGCTACACGTCAGGAAAAGGGCTTGTTGGATGAAGTATAATGCAGAAGGTTTATGCATGTGTGTATGAAGATCCGACTGTGGTTATCGTAATAAAATCTGAGGGTTGTTAACGGGATGAAATAGCGTAGTTACCCGCTATAAGTTTTTGTAATCTGCCATCTGCATATGGGTGAAAAGAGAAATGCGTATAAAATTTAATCTCAAAATTTGAAGGGAGACCTAAGCGATGGAAAGGTGACTTGAAAATAGATTTTAATTCAGTAGGATTTCAAGGCGGAAAGGGGGGGGGATGAATCGTGAAAAGACCATTTGGGAGACCTAGGCGTTGATAGGAAACATAAATTGATGTCTGTCTTGGTACTTTGCGTTGGTATAGGTATTTTATGATTTTTTAAATCAAATGTCATCTCTTCATTGAAGTCATTAAAAGTCGGTTACAGTCCGAAACCCTCATCTACGAATAGATGCAGCAACAGTAGGACATAAAATGTATTTCATCTTCGAGGAGTGTGCACCTGTCGCTAGAGGCATCCACGTGGATCTGATGGGTCTGATCCCTTCCTTTTATTTCTTATGAAGTGCGGTATTGCATCCTGAATGGTAACTTGTCTCCCACAGGGAAGAAGTCCAGGACCATACGGTTCGATGGGGTGCCAAATTCGAGTTTGTCTGCAAGATGAGCGCCAATGCCTCCACAGGGGTTTTGGATCCTTGTATCCTGAGGATATCCGTCAGGAAGGTAAGTAATATTGCTTTACCCTTAAAAAGCTCCAGGACACAAAGGCTTGCCTATGGCACATATATTTAGAGCAGTGTTCTAGGCTCTGAGACCAGTCGAGTTCAGTGCAATTTTTCTGCGCCTACACGTATAGGAAAGTCAAAGCTTTGTTGGCTGCACGCGTGAATACGAAATCTACACCATGGTTTGCAACCCTGTCATAGAAATCAAAATGGAAATAATGCCCATTGGGTGCTGCCCATAGCCAACCGGACACATGCCAAATTGGGCACATTCAGAACTGGAGACATAAGGCACAAGCCCTCATAGCTTTGTAAAAGTAGGCCGTTGCTGGAGGTTTTTCGGCCGAAGAACATTTTACTGAGGCGAATTTCCTTTTCATCTTCATGACGTATCTCGTTATCAGATTAGGCGTGACTAAAGTATTATATATTTTCTCGTTATTACCCTATTTACTTGCCGCTGGGAATTTATGATCGGTTTATTGCTGTAACTCCGTGGAGTAGAGCGTCTCTTTATAAGCCAATATTCGGTCAGGTAGTCTAGAAATTCCCTGCCTTTTATGTAACCCGGAAGTCATTACCGTGTTCACAAGAGCCCGACACAGGACCAGGTCCGATGTCTGTGTAACATTTCGTAATGTGTCAGCTTTTGACAGCGAGAAGTTTAGACCCCCACAGAACCTTAATCTGGAAGAATGCCCCTCACAGGCTGTCCGCGACTGTTTATTCAGTATACAGCAGTATTTCTCAAAACACGTTTTTGCCAGTCGCTGATTTCAAGTATCTGCTGTTTTCCATTTGTGTATAGTTTGCCGGTGTAGCTCAGTCAGTATAGTGACTGACTACGGACTGGATGACCAGGGCCCGATCCCTGGCAGGGACAGAGGATTCTTCCTCTTGCCTCTGCGTTCAGACTGGCTCTGGGGCCTACCCAGTGGGTACCGGGGTCCTTTCCAGAAGATAAAGCGCAGCCGGGGCGTGACGCTGACCCCCTCACCCCCATCTAGTGCAGAGGTCAAGCATGAGTAGGAGCTTTATCGCCTCTCCACCCAAGCGATGTGGTGTGAAGAACGCCTTTGGAATGTTGGTGTACTCCAAAGAATACGCCTTTCCAGTCTTGATGACATGCTACCTGAACATGTCATTACGAATCAATAAGTCATGTTTAATGCCTGACATTTTAAACATTATTAACGGGGACAGGCTATTTTGACGAAGGTTTTCGTGACTTGTCAGTACGTCCATGCAGATTTCGTAGTAGTTATCGTAGCTCTTTGAAGGCGAAGCTTATCTAAACAATATTTAAAGATTTAGTTCCTACGACAAAGAGAACACATCTCCATTACAAGTATCACTTTGTTAATTCTCTTTAAGGAAATAATCATTGTTTACTCTAAACCAGTTACAGACTGTTAAAGCAGGTGGCACATACTCATTTAGTTATCATTGGGGTTTAAGGAGCAAAAATTAATCGCGAATTTTTTTTTCTAATTTCGTCATTCATGATAATTTGGTGTCGGCAGACGCTATATAATCCAGGCGTTCTAAAATAGAATATGGACAGGAACCTTGGAGGTACACTCAGAGTGTAGACAAACCAGTTTATTGATGATAATGTGTCAGTACATGCCGCATTTGACGTAGTGACGACACTAAAGGAATACACCGAAGTATGCGGAACAGATCTTGGACCGCTCATGCAATGCGGTACAATGTTGACTGAGTTGTGGATGGCATCTGTCCAAAACAACAGTTGCAGTATTTCCCTTGAAATACTCGCAGCGGCTGGCCTTTCATAAAACGCAGTGCTGCATGCAGTTCTTGTTCAAATCGACTTTTAAAGGCGTTCGATTAGGTTATATCTACATGTTATCGTCGTTATCATCAACATCGTCATCAAACTTTGCGTTGCGGGTCACTGGATCTCTCCCCTTGCTGTTTCTGTATCTTTGGCCACTGAAGCAGGCTCTAAAGCAAGCATGTCAAACTCAAAGGCTAACACGGGCCAAATAAAAAAGGTTTAAGTTTATGTGGGCCGCAAAAAACAAACAAAAAAAAACTTCAATTTTCACAGAAACGTAGATTTATTTCGAAAAGTATAGTATAAAAAAGAACAAGATTAATGTTTTCTTTCTGACACTTGACATCTCTTCTCTGCTACTATCTTTCCTACTTCGGGGGAAATCTTGTTCGCAGTGATTACTTTCAAAACTGACCCAAGGTGAATGTCAGTAATTCTGGATCTGACAGGAGACTTTATTTCCTTTCATAATTGTAAATAACTGCTCACACCTATAAGTACTTCCAACCATGGAAATAATTTCATATGCGAATTTTCTAGTATTTTCAAACCTGGCAGGTAAATATTTGTAAAATCCAGGCACGTCAACCTCACTGAATTTTGCCTTCAAATTAAATTACGAAATTTTTATTAAAACGTTTCTTACATATCGTTATATTGGCTGGGCCGCAAAAATATTCGTTTTGGGCCGCGAGTTTGACATGCTTGCTCTATAGGGACGTGGATTGCGGTTGGGTGTTCAAGTGAAACAAGCGTCTTTTTCCAGCAACAGCAACAGCTGCCTTGGGAATTCTTCGAGAAAGACTTCCAGCGCCTCGGGACTCGGTGGGACACATGTCCGAGCGAGCTCAGTAGACATTATGTAATCGTCTCTTTACCAGTTTTTGTTGAACCACCGTCACACATTTACCTAATGCTGCAGCCGAGTGGTCCCGAGTAAAATCTAGGCCCAGAGGCCGGCTATCCTGACGTGTTTCATACTTTTTGTGAGTCCGTCCAGATAAATACGGGGTTAGTTCCGTATTTCAAATTAATCCACGATCTCTCCCCTCCGTATCCTTTTCAGTTCATTAATCGTCTCATCGTTCAACGAGTTTTTTTCTGAGCTACAGACAGCGTCGTTAAATAAATCGCTATTTTGTCTCTACTTTGTGTTTTCAAGGTTTGCTCGAATTTCAGTATTTCCATGATGCCTGTGGTTCTTCGTGTTCTCGCAGAATCTGAACTTGATATGCTGTTCATCTTCATACTGGGTTTTGAAGATACGCCTATTGGGTGTTCAGCTATGAACTTCCTAGCTACTAGGTAGGATCTAAACCATCCCATTGAAACTCGTCAGAGTTTGAACGCTTAGTACTTTGAATATTAACGAGTGATAAGGCGGCTTATTCAGATTGATTTGACATGGATGGTGGGTTACAACCGTGGAAGTGCAGAAGGCAGGGGTGGATAAACAGCTAACTTAGCTGGCCACATGGAACTGTATTAGGGAGATGGTTCATCCATGATCTATTCAGCCTGTTTATGGAACAGACATCAAATACTGGTCGTGTGATGGTGAACTACGCATAGATAGCACTCATCAGACACATCTTGAACAGAGCGTGGCAGTAATTGCAATTAAAACATGTAATGGGATAACTTGTTCAGCTAAACTAGAGGCAACGACCTGGACGACTGGGGTTCTGCTCCAGGCAGGGATTTTTCTCTTTTCCTTGCCGAGCTACCTGATGTGTACCATAAACTATCCGGAGTGAGAAACTGTTCCGAGGTTAAAGATGAACGGAGATTTGCATGGGTTTACCACAAGCTTTCGTGGCGTATTACTAAGAGAAGGCAGTGATTCATTATTCAGATCATAGTGTGTAATAAAATTTAAATAAAGGTTGCGGGAAAGAATTTTGGAGCTGCTAAAGACAGAATTCTGGGGAATAGAGTTCAATTCTTACCGTAGCATGCTATGGGCAGTGCGATAAAAAGATTTTGTGTAGGTTTCCAGTTTCCAAAGGAACAATCTGCCAAGGTCCTTCTAAGTTTAGGTTGTAGGAAGTATGTAAATTCATTTTAAAGAAATACGAGGAATGTGAGGATGTTTACTGAATTCAGCTGAGTACGCCTGGTCACTTGGAGAACTTCTGAACACGTCAATGAACTTTCAGATTACTTAAAAGGCAAGGAACGTCTTGACCAACTGGGCGACTAGCAGTTTCTCAGCAACATAGAGTTGATATTTTCTTACACCTTCGATGAGGATTTGAAAGTCGATTTTGTCAACTGAGATACCTTAATCACCTTTTGAGTATACCAGTTCTGCATCTTAATGTGTGTTATAATAGGTAATTCATGTTTTATTACTTACGAACTCACATGAAGGTGAATATTTACGTAATATACTAGAGGCTGTTGAGACATTTTCTTCGACAGTTACGTAATTGTGATCTCCATAGTCTTAATGCGTTTTTGCCTTCAGAGTTTTCAATGCCATGACCCTAACCCACTCTGAAGTTGTATATAAACATTCAGTGAAAGTGGTTTCAGTGAATTGTATTATTTAAGAAAGTATCAGGTTCTTCGTTTGTTTAAGGTCGGTTCACGTTTATCTCTCGTTACCAGAGTGCGGTATAAAATCTTAATGTACTTGAAACTAGCTATTATGGCAAGAGTTCAAAGATCCGGGGAGGATAAAGCAAGTATAAATTATATTCACCGTCTTCTAAATATTAAAATTGTACCTGTTGTTTTACGTGGATGCGAAACTTGATCTCCTATCATAAGATTAAGGGGATTTGAAAACAAAGTGCTGAAGAGAATATTAATTGTACTTAAACACAAGTTGTGAAGAAGGTTTCGTAATTAGAAATTTGTAATTTGCACTCTTTGCCATTTATAATTAGGGTGATGGACCCTGAGAGAATGAAATGGACGGATATGTAGCGCGCTTAGGAAAATCAGATATGCGTACACGCCTTTCTGGAAGACGTCATCTTAGAGACACTGTACGGCCATTGATAATAATTCAGTGGTTGTGGGAAAGTTGAGCCAGGTATCCCCTGGTAATCCCGTTGTTACGAGAACATTCTTGCGTTGTTTCAGTTTGTTTCTTGTGGCTGGCGAATAAGATGGAATCCACATTCAGTGACTGGGTTTTTGTATTGAAACTCTAATTTTGCACCGTGGTGACGCTGTGCTACGAGATCCCATCATCGCTCGTGTTAGAGATCGCCTGCTGTTGCAATGTACGAAGTCGAAAAAATAATTTTGAATTAAGAAGTTAGCGGCTTGGGGGTCATTGAAAGCAGTAATTGTTTGAATAAAGCGTTCTTGTTGTTGGATAGTGTTGATAATTTATTTATAATGCAAGGAATGCGTTTATGGAGACATTTCCGAAAAGCGCTGTTGCAAGGAAGTCGACAGTTCATTGTGCGCCTGTTTTATGTATCTGGGTGTGCCATCCCTAGAAAACAAATTGCAACTCCTGTTTTAAAAGTTAAGGCTGTAAATATGAAACTTATAAAATTCGAATGGGTACGTCCTACTTGTATCACTCTGTAATTTAGCACTTTTCATGACTGAAGTGTCGTGTCAAACTGCGGGCTTCGTTATTAGCGGTGTTGAACTTTCGGGTTGTACGTACAGGACACCCGTTTCGGGATAGTTCTTTTGTGTTCACATTTTTGCACTGCGCACGGAAGACGTGGAATAAGATAAATATTCCAAAGATCGGAGGTCAAATATCTTTCTTCTGAAAAGAAACATGTTGAAGCAGGCTTAAGCCTGTTCATTATACCGACCTTGATCATGGTTAAGGAATTAAGTCACATTTAGTATATTCGTCCACATTGTAAAATAATTGAGTCTGTACATTCAAATGATGTCACCGTTACGTCATGTTAAAACAGTGTGGGCTGTCTGTTGCTGATGAGTTTGCTTATGAATTGCGGTGTGAGATCCTCCACCAAGAATTCAGTTGCCAGTCGCCCTGATGACATGTGCTACGCACTGTATCATTTAAGAACTGTCTAAGAAGGAGCAGCAGTGTGCCGAAGATGGAACGGGCATTCTTAGCACTGAAGATGACGGTCTTCTGGGTTGTAACGCACCGTAGTCTGGTGGAAGTTTGCGGACGTTTCAGAGGAAGGCCTACTTGCTGCCTGCATCTTCAAGGAGCCCCTGAAACGTTGGTGAACTTTTTCCAGGCGGCATCTGATTTGGTCGAAACTTTCACTAAATTTTGCCGTTATATTTTGATTTGGATATATTTTAAGGATCACTTAAGGGTCTAAACGAATTTTTACTAATATGTTATTAAATTGTTTTGCTGATTTTAATAAAACTTGACGTACCATGTCTATAGGCGTATTTGATTATTTTTAATTCATTTTAGGAACACTTTTTCCATCAATGTTTTTATATATCTTATGAGTCTTGTAACAAAAACTTCTTATAATATGCTTATAAAGTATTAATATATATTTTAATTATTTGTTGTTTACTCATCTCTGCCTGTTCCACTCACATGTGTTATTTGCCTGGTTCTCTGGGTCTTCCTCTTCAACATCAAACAGAATAGTGCTGTATGCTGTAGTACCAAGCTTTCTGAAAACAAAAGTCGTGTGTTGTCACCTTCTTGGTTCACCCATCACAATCACTGCTCTCCTATTTTTGTGTCTTCAAAGGAAATCGATTTGCCAGAGACCGGTGTCCGGTCAAGGTCACGGTTATGTTTGTCGTATTATACAGAGCAGTTCATCGCGGCCCTGTTGTCTGTGCTTTCGGCTTGGGAATTGTCGGGCAGCGTTTAGGTAGTCACAAAGTGTCGTAAATAATGTCACGGAGCAGAGTACTTGAAAAAGGTAAAACTCGCCAAGCTAGCCAAGGAAATCCTTGCCTTTTATCGAACCAGAAGGCTCATTGCCGTGTTCACAAGACTCCGCCATTGAAACCTGCCCTGGATGAACGCAGTTCACATCCTCCCACATAATTAGTTTTCTCTCCTTTTACCAACCTCGTAACTAGCGTCTGATAGAGCTTCTTTGTATCTTTTATCTTATTTATGTTTTCACCCAAGAATTTTATGTCTGGCGTATGCTGATGGTTGTTTATCTCATTTATTTCCAGTTTCTCCTGGTTTTCTTCGACTTTATTGATGGAATATTCGAAATCAATAAAGCATCTCCTTCTTTCAGACCATTTTGTGTAGGAGGAAATGTTAAATGTTTACCAAGGCTGTCACCCTGAAAAGAAATGCATTCAAGCGCAGGTACTGAACGTTCTAAAATGTTGTGGATGTGTTGATTTAAGAATGAGTGCAAGCATCAATGTATGTGTGCAGAAGAAAAAATCTAATTGCATTCTTACTATCAGTCTATTAAAAATAAAGTCTGTGACTGTAATCACTGAAAACAGCTTCTGAAAGTAGTCCCTTTTTATCTAAATATTTCAGATGTATTCAGTGGTATACATTTTTTGGTTAATAATGTCTCCCGCCAGGGCCGTAGTTATTTGATTGACTAATACTAATTGTGTCTTTGAGCCTTACAAAATAAAAGGACCCTTCTCCTGGCCTCTGGAGCAGCTGGGACATTCGCCCCTCCAAGATTCCTTTCCGCTGACCGAGTTCCTGGAATTTCACGATCAGTCGTCCACGTATGTGCTCTGTCTTTGGCAAACGCACACTCACCCTAACCGCGTCTGTCAGGTTTCCAGTCCTTTGAACCTGTTACCTGAACAGATTTGTACAGAAATAGAATAAAATATGACGTAACTGGTTCAAATGACGTAATATACAGATGACGGTCACAGTGACGTAGAAGAACTTTTACTAAACGCGAAGAATCATTACAGTGTTCACAAGGATCGCCACTGGGTCCTATCCTGAGGCAGTTGCGTCCTGTTAACATCCTCATACCCTACTTTGTAAGAGCTATTTTAATATTATCCAGTAACATACTTAACAGAATTGAACGTTGGGCGAATGTTGTGGGCGTTCAGTTTTTTGGGGAATATTTCGAAGAGAATGTGCGCATTATATTAAGGTAAAAATGGTTCAGGAAATGCTTGATGTGAGAATCGCGTTTCTCTTTAGATAACTCAAGGGAAAGTAACAGCATTGCTCAGTGTTTCATCCATTAATTCGAGAATAAAGGGACGGGAATGTTTGTTGGGCAAAGCAGCTAGAGCTTGACGTTATTCACTTACCTACTAACTAACAAGATGGCTTACCGAACCCGAAGGTTCATCACCAACGTAACCAAAGCCCTCCACCGGACCCTATTATGCACGTACCTACACTTGGTATAAATGAGTACTTGGAGCTTTGCCTCTGTTCGTCCTTACGTCTTCATGGCGTGCTACTTACGTAAATGCGTGGGTGGCTTTACCTCTGTCTTTCGAGATAACGTTGTGAACTGTAGCATAACAGAAGTTACCATACTGGTCTCTGCGTCTGCCATTTCAGAAATCCTTCCCAGGAACATTGGTAATTAGTTAATAATGGCGTCGGTGAATTTAATTGGGATTCGTATCGGGTTAGGTATTTCCGTGGGTCACGGATGTAACGACCTTGTCTGATGGCGAAATTATGTCTGTTGTATAATTGTTATTCATAATCTATTCTGTATCTTTCCCGTCGTGGAACAAGTAGGTCGCGAGTTTATAACGAAGTTTTACGCTTTCAGCGTGGTTGAAAACGCCATGTTGTCATTTTATATAACTGGTAGTGACGCCTTTGCGTACATTACGATGATGAAATGCTTTTTAGAAGCAGAAAGCGATACTGATTTCTGTTACATTATGTTATTCTTCTGGGTTTTGGCGCCGTGCACACTCGTCGGTAGATGCCAACGTTTCAGATAAACATACTTCCTCTATCTTCGGGGTTGAAACCCTATATATTCTCATCACCGCCGTGAAAACCTCAAATCTCACAAGTCTGAAACAATTTACATGACTATCAGTTGAAGTTCTCTGAAAGGAACATCTAGTTAATGGCCTGTCCTGTCATCTGGTATTTGTGGTCGACTAGAGGAGGGTCGCTTTTGTTGGGTTTGACCTGCCTTCATATTACAAAGCTCTCGAGTGTTAAGTATTTTACACATCACTGCCGCTATTTTCCTTGGTTATTAAAGTGGGGAGGTCACGTAGAATTTGTTAGATACAAGAAGAAAGAATCAGTTTTGTCAATATTTTAATAGGAGGCGATTGCCCTGACGATGGAGACAGCAGGATTTTAAAACGTATGGAAACGGAACGTTGAAAATATGCAGCGTTTGCTAAGTTTCTGTGTAGAATGTAAAGCAGTTTTGCGGTCGCGAAAAACCTTTATTTGACTTTCAGTTTGATGCCTGCAAATAATAAACAATTGGAGTGATCTTAAGTTCTGTTTGAAAATATTTCACTATTTTTACAAATCCCACATGAAGAATCTGTTTTATGTTTAACAGAGACATGGAGGCGATTAGAAACTTCCATGTAAAATAATACAAATTTAACATACTCGGAATCTGCTAGTTGAAATGGTTCATCAAATTTTATAATTATTTATTCATGGTTTCTTCTTGCCTCGCCGTTTAGCTTGAAACATTTGAAAGAAACCAGGCGGTCGTGTTTAGCATTACCATCGATTTGTCAGTTTTGACGAACGTTTTGTGAACATGTGTTTCATCATGGTCTGAATTAGACGTAACGAAGGAACTGAAGTCCCCGTTTATTTGTTCAGGGCACTGCCATGACAAACACAAAGCGTCAGCAGTGAACTACTGGCTGACAAGTGGCCACCAAAGTTGCTGCTGTGTATACATTTTTTGGGATACCTTGTAGTAACATTAACAACCAGATGGTTGCGGTAGTACGCTTTAGACGTGCTTTCGGGAAATACGCTTTTCAAATCTCGACTAAATTGACGCATATTGAAATTGGTCCTGACCACCTCCCTCTCTACTCACCAATCATGATCTTGTCTTATTCGAAGATATGTAACATTGCAGTTGAAACAGTTCAGTAAAAACCGAGGAATCGGATTCGCAGGCAGATCGCCCACACCGAATTAAAATGGAAACAAATTTGGAACTATGCTTGTAATTTGACCCTTGGCCTTTGTAAATGGTGTCGGTGACGTTAGAATTGTCTGAGGTCAGTTACCTCTACAGCGTAAAGTGGTCGTTACAATTGCCAGATGTAATTAAAATTTAAATAGCAAGGCATTTGTCGTAAAAAAAATTCCAGTGTCCAATTGAATCAAAATCGGTTTATCCGTTCCCGAGTTGCGCTGTTGCGAACGCGACTGAAATAATTTATAACTTTCGAAAGCTAAATATTGCGTGATCTATGCTCTGTAAAACCCGACGTTTATATTTTTGTATTTAGAAGTGACTGCGTGTTTGCACGTAATAATTTCCGCTGCCACTGCTGAATTTGTGCCGCTCGCTTGTTCTCATACTAAAGCGTTTTATAATTTCAACTGAACCATGCCTATCGTCTAAAAAGGGAATAAGAAATAAGTTCGCCTCGTTTAAGCATGTAGTGTATACAACCTGTTCTTCCAGCTGTTCCTCCAACAAGACCCTGCTTGTATCAGCAAGGTCCCATCCAAGGTCAAGACCTCAAGAGCGCAGAAAAACATTTGCACTGTTCGAAAATGTTGTTTTCTAGTAAAGTTCTTACGAGTCGCTGACAAGGTGGTGAACTTTTCTGCACTCTTGTAACTTGCTTTGTACAGAAGTACTTCCGTGATTTAAACATCCTAAATCGCCCATAGGAACTGTAGGCCTGTAGATGTCACTTAAACCCACCCCTCTGCCCAGACAAGTAAAGAATATGTTGAATGAAACAGCTCCTCTTTTGACGTAAATACGTCTATAAGGAAGGGTCATTCGGCAAAAAAGTGGAACTAAAAAGTGTAACCTGGTTACCTAGGGAACGTCGTGTTTACTCGGCATTGTTGTTACCTAGGAAACGTCATCTGTTTACTTAGCATTGTTGTTACCTATAAAACATTTCATTACATTACCTTACCTTACATTACATTCAGCTACCACAGACCCAAAACCGCCACGGTGGTCTAGTGGTTAGAACACTAGCCTTGTAATCCTGGGGTCCCGGGTTCAATTCCCGGTGGTGCTCAGATTTATAACTTGTGTTGGGCATCACGGAGTTTTCCTCCGGGGGCTCCCCGGTTTCTGCGTGGCATCCTAACAATTACTCCACTCACACACACACAGAAGAAGGCAATGGCAAACCACTTCTGGATCATCTGCCAAGAATGTATATATGTATGAACGGGTCCCTGACAACCTGAAGAGGATGGAAGGACCCTGTTCATAGTATATGGACCTGTCATCAGACAGAACACTAATAATAATAAATAATAACCACAGACCGATTTTAAGCGTAACTAATTGAAGTTGAATAATCAATGTCTTAATCAAACTTATCTCAATTGTAAAGCATGTATAAAGGAAATATTTAGAATAAAGCCAATATATAAACTTCCTTTCCGTATAGACGTATTTACGTCAAATTCTCCGGAACCGTGGTTCCACTATCACTTTTTTAGCAGTTTCATTTTATATGTTATTTGCGCGAAGCGAATGCATGCAGCAGAGGTCATGTTCGTTACTGTGCACGTAATAATGTAATTTTGGTTTATACCAGTGAGATGTAATTCCTACTTTGCATGGAGCTCGAATCGAACTTGATCAGTTTTCTAAAAGAAAATTGTTCGTGACATTAAATATAGACCTAATTTGAAACCTAAACCTTTGTATGTAATGTTTTGTATTTATAGAAGATCAGTTACCATACATCATTTCGGGATCCTAATTAATTGGCGCTAGTATTGTTCCCACCCCATAAGTTCTCGCGTCCGCATTAGGAAATTAAAAGTTACGAAGTCGGGATGTCCTCTAGTGGCATGATGTTTACGCCAAATTTTGTGAAAATCTACCGGTTGGTTCAACCTTTGAAAGGGATCTCACACTGCGTGGTGATGCCCCCCCCCCTCCCCCAAAGAAAGGAAAGTGGACTAATGAGGAAACGGGCATTTTGTCGGGTTCCACCCTGCCTGCTTGTCGTTGCTGGCTAAGTGTAAAAGTCCCAGACGTCATACGTAGTTCGTCATAAATCATAGGCATGCTTCTTGAAACTTCTGCACAGAAAAGTCTGAGATGTCATTAAAATCCATTCATCATTTCTGCTTATTGTGCCTGAGGAAACGCATCTGCCTGAAAGAGAAATTTAGAAGGAAAAAACATTAAGACTCCATGGAGAGGGCAGCGTGAACTCACCTTCATCTAATGAGTTGAACTTTATCTTCGCACCCCATACGTCATCATGTGGTGTTTTGACATTTGAATTACTTTACTCTCCTGGTATGATACGCGGATCATTCATTTTGAGTTATTTAGAACCTTGTTTATTGGTTACATTATTCGAAATGTGTGTTTCAAGATGGCCATCTTCTGGGTTGTTTGCGCCATATATTAGTCTGATAGAAGTTGTTTAGGATGACCCAAGTAAGGAGGGCAGGCTGTGAAGGATATGAAAAAAACCTGTACGGAGAACACCGTTTGCGAGACATGGGCAGGGATCGGTGTGCGATAAAATGGGTCTTTAAGGAATAGGCTGCGATATCCCGGGGTGAATGAAACTGGTTCAGAGTATGAAGATTTCTGTCTTCTGGGTTGTTGCGCTGTGTAGTCTGGTCGATGTTTACCAACGTTCATCGCCCTGATGACGGAGGCAGTATGACCTCTGAAACGTTGGTTAACATCGACGAGACTACACAGCGCAACAACCCAG